TGGGCCTGTACTCACACTCTCACCTGGGCGCTTCCGTTAGGGGTCCCCTTGCTAATGCAACAAAGGCTACCTACTGGTCTTTCGTTGCTGCAGCTGCACTACAGCTGTTTGCCCTCCGTGTGGGTCCCTTGCCCATCCACCCCTCTTGGCAGAAGCCCCTCAAGAGCCTCCTTCTTCAAACTGGCCTGTGTTCCCTTAGCCGGAGGACAGCCCACTGCTCCCCCCTGCCCTGTACTAGTGTGGCTCAGGAGGCTCTGAACTCAGCCCTGTGGCTCATCTGGACTACTTGGTGCGTGCCTGTCCAGGATTGGCAGCACGTGGCCAGCCTTACACACTGTCCCCACCCAGAAACACCTGCTTCTTCAGCTCCCATCTCTCTGCAACCCCCACCCTGCCCCCGCCACTTCATTCCCCTCCACAGATGTGCCCAGGGCAAAGCTATTACCCGAATGGATGGCCAGATGAAATATTAAATTTCCACTTATCCTTCTCGTTCATGCATTTCCTGCGGATGTGTGGGGCTCAAGTCTAGGGCATGGCCGTACCCTGTGGGGTAACCCCCCTCGGGAACATGGTGGTGGACTAGCCCGGGTGGGAGAGGCTTGTGAGCTTGGCTGCCGCTCAGAAATGGCCGTCAGCATAAGAAGCCACAGTCCTGACGCGGGCTCGGCTGACGGACCGCGTCCTCCTGCAGGAGCTGGGAGACCCTCGTGGGGCAGCTGATGGCGCTGGCTCATCAATGACTCCACAAGGGCCCTGCCTGGCTGCACTGCCAACAGTCACCTGTAAAAAAGGTCCTTCCAGCCACCCCAAGTGTCTGTGTCAGTGACTGCCATGCTGTCCTACTCTGTGCCCGCAGGGAGGCCGGGAGGGCATCTGTGGCCCCTTCCATGCTGAGCCTTCAGTGGCTTCATGCCATCTGCCCTGCTGCTCACACCACTGTTACCAAGGTGGTTTGAACCTACCACTGTCACTAAGCCCACATGGCTTCAACAGCACACTCTCACTGCCTAGCCCACCACCTAGCGACACCCCGCAAGGAGACAGGACACCCCCAGCTTGCTCCTCTCCCTCCCTTTGCTTTCTCTTTGGCCTTCTCCTCCTGGATCTGGCGGGCCAGCCTTGCACTCACCACTGCCCTGTATCCCAAGAGTAGAGCAGGGAGGCCCTGGCTTGCCTGCCCCAGCCCTGCCCCTGGGGCTGGGCAGCACCACGTGGCCGCCCAAGTCTGGCTCGGCCAGTGGCCTGGCCTCTCATGCTGAGTAGGATCCTTGGGAGAAAGTTGTTCTTGGGTTTCCTGGCCTCCTTCCTGATTTCCCAATCGCCAGTTTCCTGGAGAGGCTGGTGGCAGAGGTGGGGGTGGTGCTGGTGCTGGTAGCCCACCATTAGGGGGATGGTACCAGCATGGGGGTACAGGTGGTGGTGGTGCTTGCTGTGTGCCAAGCAATGAACTCGTACTTTGTTTGAGTATCTCCTTGTATGATCACAGAAGCCTGAGGTAAGTGTAATTATCTTCTTAATTATACAGCACAGATGAGGAAGCGGAGGCTCATTGAGGTAAAGGACTTGCCCAAGGCCATACGGCCAGGACCAGCCAGCGTGTGAACGTCCCCGGCCCAGTCTAAGCTGACCTTCTTGGGACACTGTTTCCCTGTGGGCAGTCATGGTCTCTTCTGGCTGCCCGTGATGAGATAGCATCATGGTGCACTGTCTGCCTCATCTGCGTCTGAGTCAGGGCTCAGGCCCCCATGAGGTGCTTGCTGAGTTTTGCCCAGGCTTTCTAGGAGGGGAGAGAGGTGTGATTCTACCCCCAATTACAGCTTGCCAATGTGTGAGAACCCCCAAGCCCCAGCCTCTTTCCCCTCAGTTTTCCCAGGTTCCAAGCCTGATGCGTCTACTTCCTTAAATGGTCCCAGAGCTAACGGCCGGCCGGGAGGTGAAGCAAACAGGGAGTGACTCCCCTCAGCCCAGGTGACAAACAGGTGACAGAACGGCCTGAAAACAGGTCAGCTCAGTCCCTGGACGGCTTTGGGCTGCTCTTTTTGCAGCTCTGCCTTGACATGTGACCACAAATGAGACATAGCTAAGAGCTAATGAATACTCAAGGCTGGCCCAAGCCCTGTGATTGGAGGCTGGTAACTAGCCACTACCTATGTTCCTGAACTCCTGAGCCTGGTCCACTGCCTCCCTGAGGTCAGGCCTGGCCCGTGTTCAGAGGCTCTTCCTGCCTCTTGGCAACTCACTCAGCATTAGAGTGTTAAAGACGCTCCTTCTTTGGTTGTGATGGCAGTCACACCGCTAGTGACTTGTCTGACCCTGAATGACTGTTAATGGCCATGATGGTAGCTGTTATGGTCGGAGTCAGTTCCCACCCCTACGTACAACAGGGTACAGCAGGGCCTGGTCCTCACCAGCCTGACAATTGCTGCTATGTGTGAGTCCAGTGTTGCAGCCGCCGTGACAATCCATCTTGTTGACGGTCGTCCTCCTTTTCAATGACCCTCCCCTTACTAAAACGGATGTCCCTCTCCAGGGACTAGTCCCTTCTGATAACAAGCCTGAGGTCCGTGAGATGACGTCTCCCCAGCCTTGCTTCTTGGCAGCATTCTGGCTGTACTTCCTTCAAGAAAGGCTGGTTGGGTCTGTTGGTAGTTCATGGTACATTCAGTAGTCTTCACCAACCCCAGAGTTCAAAGGCCTCCATGCTCCCCTGGTGTGCTTATTCCCTGTGCAGCTTCCGCACACACAGAAGGGGGTTGATCACACCCCGGCTTGGCCCAGGAGCACCTTCGTCCTCCCGGGGACACTTTTGCTGTCCACTTCAGGAAGGGGAGCTTTTGCAGATGTGCCCGATGCAATACTTCGTTCGGCTTCCTGATGGCTGTTTCTATGGTGTGGACTGTGGCTCGATCGCTGGCAACGGTCTTTTCCCATGGATCGTGCTGTGGCTTACTGGTCCGGTGGTGGGCGTTCTCGCTCTCTTCCCACGGAGTTGTAATCCGTACAGAAGGCTTTGATCCTCACCAGCGAGTGCGTCAAATCCTCTTTGCTCTCAGCACATAAGGTCGTCATCTGCAGATGGCGTGATCCACACAGCTCGATGCCTTTGCAGAATCAAGAGAGCACAGTCAGACATCTCCATGGTATCCTCTGCTTCCCGGCACGTTCCGTCTGACATCAGCAGTGCCACCCCTGATGCTCCGTCTCCTCCTGAATCCGCTGGGCCCTGTCAATGGACTGCTTGCTGCATTCGCGTCTGATTTCTCTTCAGCAGCATTGTGCTTGCGTGTGATTCCGTGACGACTGTTTGATAACTCTGCCTTCTGTTGGCTCACCTTTCTTTGGAAAGCCTCTCCTCCAGTTGGTTGGCCAGGTTGCTGTCTTCCAACTTTCCTGGCACAGATGAGTGATGGAGGCCACGATAGTCATAACAACAGGCCATCGGGTCATCCACTGACATGCTAGGTCCTGACCTCCAGCGTGTGGGATTCTGACCAGTCACACTGGGCTCATTTCAGAGGAGGAAACCCACGCCCCTTTCACTGCCCTTGGGGTCACTTCCTGGGGCATCCCAGTTCTCACTCTGCTTGAGAGCTTGGGTGATGGAACTTTTCGTATCCACACTCACGGAGAGCTGCCGGGAAACTCGCAGTTCCGTCACGGCAGACAGCCATCACGGGCAGGGACTACAGCCTTGTCCCCCTCTCCCCTCCAGCAGCTTTGCTTGGGGAAAGCTTTGCCATCTGTGCTTCCCAGGCAAACCCACACCTACCCCACTGGCCCCTTACAGTGATGTGTGCTGGCTGATCCATGACCCACGGCGAGGCTCCACCCTCCCCCGGAGACAGCTATGCGCAGCGCCGGTTCCCTCCTTCCCCCTGATGGGTGGGCACCCCGACTGCCATGCCCATAGCTCTAAACACACAGGGCCTTGGACAGAGCTACAAAGAAAGAAAAGCAAAGCCTGGCCTGCCAATGGCCAGCACTCAAGGGAGGAGGGGAGAAGCAGGAAGAAGAGAAACCAACTTTGGCAACAGCCCAACCCAAAGGGAAAGGGCAGGCAGCAGGGCCTTGGCGAGTGGGAAGAGGCAGGGAAGGGCACAGCCTCCTACCTGTGATGTTGACCTCCACCTGGCCCGAGCGAGTGCCAATGGGATTGGTGGCCTCGCAGATGTAGGTCCCTGCCAGGCTGTAATTGATGGGTCCCCTGAAGAAGAGGGTTCTGTTCTGGGCCTCTACGCCCTTGGGGAGCGAGCCATTCAGCCTGTAGGGATCAGGGGACAAAAGAGGGGGTTATTGGCTCTCAGGACCAATGTGCCCACCTCCCTCAGAGGGGATTCCTCATCCTCTCCAGGAAGCCTCCCCTCTGCCATGCATTCAGTTCGACACCCCCCCAGTCCTTGCTCAGGTAGGAAGCAGGGTCTCTCGGAAGGAGTAAAAGCAGTAAGAGAGAACAGAATGGTCTCTTTGATTTGGCTTTATATCATCCGGGGTGTTCACATTTGATCATCATGACACTGAGAAGTGGGTAGGAGAGGTGGGGACTGGCCTTTCTAAGCACACGAAGAAGCTGAGGCTCAAGGTCAAGGAGACCAGCTAGCTAGCAAGCAAGGGGCAGAACTGGGGCTTCATGAAGGTCCCCGGACTGCTGGTACAGTGCTTGCTGTTTGACTCAGGGTCCTGGGGCTGTTGGTTTTTGGGACTGGTGTTGGGCTGGCTGCAAAAGGATGTCTCTGGGAGCTGGTAAAAAACACATAGGCCCAGGTGCCAAAAGCAGATCTCCCAAACCAGAACATTTGGGCCAAGGCCTGGGAGCCTGTATTTTAACAAGCTACTTGGGCCACGAAACTGTGTTTAGCAATGGTTGTGTTCCACGTCATTCTCTGGGATTCTTGCTGGGGCTAACGTGGGCTTTCTCATGTGGCAATGTCCCCAGGGATCGCTGGGGACAGCATGCCACCTTCTTTCCTCTTGATCTTCAATGCCACAGAGCCATTTATTGCTGGGTCTGGTGGCATAGGGGTTACACGTTGGGCTGCTAACTGCAAGGTCGGCAGCTCGGAACCACCAGCCGCTCTGCAGGAGAAAGACGGGACTGCTACTCCCATACAGAGCTACAGTCTGGGAAAATCCCAGGGGCAGTTTTACCCTGTCCCGTGGGGCCTCGACTCCATGGCCATGGTTTGGGGTGAGAGCAGCCTCCTGGTCCATGGTGCAGAAGGGGGCACGCAATCCTAGCCATTCAGCTTTGGAAGCAGGTGCAGACTAGGAGGGAGAGCAGACTAGGTAGTGGTCTCTCCTTCTGTGAACAAGGAAGCTGCTCTCTGGCCATCACGTCAACCTGTCTCCTGGGTTCCCCCCTCATCCCCCGACTATTCTTGGGGAAGAAGTTTGGCCCAGGCCATCGGAGCTGACAGGATCCCCTGAGGGCCAGGAAGCCAAGGACGGGCTGATGGGAGGTGGGGAAAGCGCATCATGACCATCAACATCTGGACTAACTGCTGTGCCCTCCCTGAGAATCTTGGGGTGCAGGAGGAGTGGGAACAGAGATCTGGGGTGCCGAGATCCCTGGGGAGTCCTCGATAAAAATGCATCCCAGGGGCTGGTGTGGGAGTGGCTCAGACTGAATCCTGAAAGGGAAAGGGTGACATTCTTTATCTGAGAGGGTGGCAAGTCACCAGGGAGGCCCCTCTGGTCTCCACGGGCCCTGCATTGTCATAAATGGGGATGTGGGTGGATCACATATCCCCTTCCCCCTTTACTGCGCACTCTGGGCCGCCTCTGCCCATAGCTCTGGAGGTGGGTGGGCGGGCACTCACGTGGTCCAGTGGTACTCCGTGGCTGGGGGGTTGGCATCCGCTCTGCACGTGAGCTTCACGTCCGTCCGCTGCAGGTACCAGTTCCCATCAAACCCCTCGATGCTCACCTCGGGCTCATCTGTGGGGCAAGGGATGGTGCTATTTGAAGAGCATTGGGGGTGGGGAGTGCAGGACATGGAGAGAGGGGGCCTCTGAGGAGGAAGGCATGGCAGGAAGCAGGAGGAAAGGGTAAGGAAGAGGGGTCGTCCCAGAAGCTCCAAGCAGAGGCAACAGCAAGCAAGCAGGAGAGAGGGGACGAGAAAGGGAATGTGGTGCAGAAGAGGCAGGGGAGTCCCAGGGAAGAAGAGGGCATGGAGGACGGAAGCAGGGGCCAAGCAGGGAAGGGCAGACAAGCTGGGCCCCTCCCCTGGCCCCGCCCACTCACACTGCACGTCCAGAGTGAGGCGCTCTTTGAAGCGGTCCATGTGGTAGTTGACGATGCAGGCCAGGGACTGCTGGTGGGCCTCCCGACTGGGCACCAAGCGGTAGCGGCTTATGACGGTCACTGTGCCATTGGGGTTCCGGATCTCCTGGTACTCAGCCTCCCCCTTCAGGCGCGTTTCCCAGGTCACCAAACTGGGAGGCTTCCCATTGGCCGAGGTGCAAGTGGCCACCAGGACCTTGCGCTCCTGCCCCTTCTTGGCTCGAAGTACTGCCTGGGTGCCCTCGATCCAGTTGGTGGGTTTGGCTGTAGGGAACCAGGGGGCGCCATGAGACCACTCAGCAGAGGTGCGCAGGCCCCGCCTTCCAGGCCCCCTCGTCTGTCTTGCCCTGCTCTCGGCTGGGCGTCTCCAACACCGCTCCCCAGAAATTATCCCCCCTGGGAGATTCTGCATGTCCGACCTGTCCTTCCTGCTCCACCGTGTGTCAGGTAGATCTTTTCCTAAGCTTAGTCTGCTCATGCCATCACTTGCTGTGGCTCCTCCCTTACAAGATCCATGCCGCCAGTGCCTAGCTCCCTAGTACCCACAAAGTGGCCCACGCATGGGGGGCTCCAGCCTGAACCCTGGTCCTCAACTCTGCCCAGAGTGAAGGGCCCTGCCCCAACCCCTAGTAACTTCAGCTAGAAGAGACTGGAAGGGTCTCAAGCCCCAGAGCTATGCAACCAGGTGGCCTAACGCGAGTGTCTAGAGACAGGAAGGCCCTCAAGGCCAACACGGCCAAGCCTCCGTGTGCTAGAGAACAGGGTGGACTCCCTGGTGGGCTGGTGGTCCGAAGGCCGCCCCCCTGAAGTGCAGGCCCGCGTACCCATGACAGTGAGGTTGAGCTGGCTTTCACGATTGCCCTTGGGGAACGTTGAGAACTCGCAGATGTAGACGCCCTCGTCCTCCAGCTCCAGGCGGGACAGGCGGATGGTGCCGTCGGTGAAGGAGGGCTGCAGGAACTCCACGCGCTTCTGGTAGGGGGGCAGCACTGAGATCCCCAAGGCGGGGTTGTAGATGGCCACGTTCTGCTTGGAGCCATTGGTGGCCTTCTGCCACGTGACCTGCGTGATCTTCACGTTGGGCAGCAGGTTGGCGAAGCTGCAGTGCAGGACCACGTCGGTGCCGATGAATCCGTACATGGAGTCATTCACCTGGACCATCTGCGGGTGTGCACCTGCGCGGGCGACAGGAGGGCGTGGTCAGGGCCGGCACAAGTCACACTCCCCGCACCCCTAGGCTTGCTCATTCTTCCTTTTACAGCGTCATTAGTAGTTTCGTTCCGCTTGTAAAAGCACTAATTGCGGGTTGTGAAAAGTGCCGACACCAGGCCGTCCTGGAGAACACCGAGGAGAAATGACAAGGCCCTCACGATCCCGAGGCTCAGACCCACCGCGCACGTCCAAGGCCATCGCCTTTCTGCTAACTGCTCTCCTCTCTCTCTCACTGGCCCACACGCCTCTGCCCGTTTGTCAGCGCCACCGGGAGTGAGGCCGCCGCGATTGCAAACACCAGCAGGGTCACCTGCGCCAGGCCGCTTTCAGCGGTGCTTCCAGGCCAAGACAAACTAGGACGAGACGGTGGGGCCCGCTATGGCAACCGACCGGGGGAAGGCCCACAGGTCACCAGGGACCATCTAAACCAGGCAGGGGCGCACTATTCATTCGCTGCAGCAATGCAAGCGGGGACGGGGATGGTCAGCAAGATGGTGTGGGATGGGAGATTTTGTCTTGCCGTCTATACCGCTGCCACTAGTTGGCGCTAACTTGATGGAAACGAACAACAGAGACATACCCCCTGCCTGTTTTTTCTCTTTTCTTTTTTCTTAACAGACCCAGAATCACACGACGCAGGGCTCCACAAGCTGCGGCTTTCCCTAGTGCTGGCGCTGCAAAGGGTGACTTGGTGGACGAGTGGTTAGCCTCGGGAGAAGGACGAGGCTCTCTACTCCCCTTGGAAATCTATGGGGCAGTTCCACCCTGTCCTACAGCGTCGCGGCGGGTCGGAACCCACCCCCAGCCACGTTTTTAGGAGGGACATTGAGTGCATGGCCTGAAGGCTGGGGCTGCTCTGCCTCCCAGGCCCTCAGCCCCTCATCAAACAAATGGGCTGAGGGGAGGTGCCTTTCCGCCCTCCCAGAGTTGCTAGGGGAACCCAGGGGCATAAGGGGTGACAAAGTGCTCACGTGGCAGGAAACTAGGTGAGCACAGGGACAGGTAAAGCCACCCCTTGCTGTCTGCCCCTACCGGGAAGTGGGGGTGTCCCTCAGACCAGGCCAGGAAGGGAGCAGGGGGTTCTGCCTATCCCTGCCAGTCTTCCCGCGGGCCTTTTATGGTCTTGCGCACCTGGGCCCTGCCTGTTGGTCCACGTCTGCCCACACAGCCCATTTTCGGACTGCAGCAGCCTCTCCTTAGGATGTCTTCACTCAGGCTCTGCGGTGACTCACTGAGCACCGTGCTCTGGGCAGCTGGACCCCAGGGTCTTCGCATGCAACTCTTCAGTCCCAAGCCCCCGGGAGCACAGAGTCTGTGGGGGCAGCACTTCCGGGTTCTTGCTGCACCCTGGGCCCAGAAGGCTCCCTCATCCACCCATGGACGTCCACCCAGAGGGGACTGCCTGGGGAAGCGTCCCCAATCCTCCCAGCCACCTCTCCAGCCTCCCGTGCGGCCACCTTGCTCGTGGCTCTTTGCTGCCTTGGATGACATTGTTTCCAGGTCTGACCCTCCTACAGACCAAGGCCTGTCCTCCCACCTCTGTGTCTCCACAGCCCAGCACAGCAGCCAGCACACAGTAGGTGCTCCGGACAGCTTTGCTGCCACACAAATCCCAATGGAAAGACCAAGAGCACGTTGGCAAGGAGGAGGAAGAGGTGATCAGTGGCATGGAACGAACGAATGAATGAATAATAGCCTCCCACTGACTTCCGCTGCTGTGAGCTTCCCGAACATTCCTTACCTTGACTCTGCCCCTAACTTGAGGCAGCGCCCCCGGCATGCGCCTCTGCCCTACAGCTCTCCCCTGCAAACTGTGTCCTTGGCTGCCTCTGCACACTTCCCGTCTTCTCATCCTCATTTCCCTCACTCACTCAGTAACATCAGTCGCGCCAGCCCCGACTAACCCTAAGGTCAGGGAATAGCCTACTTGATCTTCAGAGGGAGTCCAGAGTGGACCTTGGGCCAACACTCACCTTCTCTATGTGAGGGAGGCCTGGGGGCAGCATGGACTGCTGGGAAGGCCCCCAAACCCAGGTTAGTAAGCCCCCCAGGAGGCTGCAGGCCTGGCCTCTTCTGGTAGCTCCTGAGCCCAGCATGTAGCAGGAGCTCAAAGCTTGCTGAATAAATAGATCTCTAGCCTGCTGGGCCAGTCCCTGAGCGTGCCTTGAAAACTTTCCACCTATTCCCATCCACACAGCCTTCAAGCTGGTCCCCTGGCCAGGGCTGCATCTGCCATCACCACATGCTGGCCTGGGTGGGGGGCAGCGGGGGCACCCCTTGCCAGGAGTCAGCAGAGCTGGGTTCAAGCAGGGTTTCGTCTTTAGCTCGCCCAGCCCCAAGGAAGAGACTCTAGCCAACACTTTCCCTTTCTGAGCCCCATCTCCTCATCTGTCAAAGAAGGCTGGCCTCGGTCCCTCTGGCCCTAACTGTCCAAGTCCCTGAACTGCAGCCCAGCCCAGCCCAGCCACACCTCACCCCAGATACAGCTCCGCGGTGAGGTCAGTGGGCTAGACAGCTCAGCACTCCTGCTGCCTGGCCAGCAGGATAGTGGGTGCTCTCTGCCCCACCCTTAGACCTGCTGGTGGCTGCCCAGGGCTGAGATAATGTGGGCATAATTAATTGGGGAGCTTTCGACACACAAAGCCAGGAACAGGAAAAGCCAGTTGAAGGGCTTGGGCCACAGGTGAGAGTGGGGAGGGGGAGGGTGTGGCTTCCCAGGAGCCATTTGGGATTGGTGCCAGGGTGTGGTGGACTTGCAGTGGGACTCGAGCCACTGAGGCCGCCGGGACCCCTCGTCTTCCCTAATGCCCTCCCAGGTGGGGGACATGCCATGCTCACAGACGGCGGCTCATCCTCTACCTCGTTCTTCCCAGGGAACTTCCCAGGGACCCTTGACGCACCAGTTCCAGGAGGGGAGATTGCTGGGAGCAGCCGGGTGTGGGCTGGGAGGGTGCCCTTCCAGGCTGCAAGGGCTGAGACACCCTGAAGGCCCCTC